TAAAAGAAAAGCCACTTTCCCTAACTGGATATAAAAAGTCCCCTAATGGCCAGTTGCAGACATGCCCCTCCCCAAGCTATTAAAAAAAAAAATCAGAAAATAAAAACTATTCAGTTCTTGTCCTTTATTTTTATGTAATAGCCTTAGTTCCTAATCTGGTGGTTTATATTCTCACCTGTGAACTCTTAATTATCTCTATTGGCTTGATATATATATATGTATACATATATATGTACATATATATGTATATATATGTCAATTCATGATCTTTTAAGAAAAAAGTCATTAACAAAATAAATAAATGTCTTGCTTGGGAAGTCAACTTAAACACGAATCTGAGTAAACAGCTTAGTTTCCTTTCCATATTAAATAAGTTTAACAAAAATTTTAAAATAGAATAAAAAAGATACAAATTTATACAAATTAATGGTTTTCCCCCTCGCTCCCTTGTAAATGGTTTGCAACTCTAATTTTGTTTCAATGAACATTTTTTAGCCATATTTACTTAATCTTACACTGCTCTAATTTCAGTTCACTAACTTACATAAGGCATCATTGTATTTAATAAAAACATTAAAAAATTTTAGGCATATCTCCTAAGCTTTAAAATCATCTTGAGTGCAACAGATTTCACTGATCAATTTCTGCATTTTTAAATTTATCAATAAGCAGCAGAAACAATTTATCAAGACAGCATGATAAAGAACATTAAATTTGAAGCCAGAAGATCCATGATGGAATCCTGATCTTGGATGTTATTTCAGCACACATAGTCTTAGTTTCCTCATTGTAAAATGGGCCTATTAATATCTACTTCATAGCCCCGTTGTTAAAACTGTACAATTTTAAACTTTTATGAGTACATCTAGTAGTAAACAGGTATTCAATAAATTCCTGCCGAATCTAAATTTATAAGACTTGAAACACACTTCTGACAAAGTCATGGTTTCATTGGGCTGCAATTCAACATAATCTGACAGTATTGATGACAAAGAAAAGTTTGTGGAATTAGGCTGCATTAATAGAAGTAATATTCATAAGAGATGCACTGTATTTTGTAGCTCAAACCACACTGGGTTCAGTTCTATATACAGTATTCTAAAAGAAATACTGACAAAGTGTAGCAGATCCAAAGGGATATCTAAGATACTAATGACTAAAATTCACACTATGAAAACCAGTGGAAGGACTTGGATATGGCTGGCCTGGAGAAAAATATAAAAACTATTTTTAGAAGCTACATCTAGGGCCAAAGGATGAAGTTTTATACTAAACCAAAACCTGCTCTCCTATGATAATTTTATTTTCTATCAATTATTACTGATATAAATGTAACTGATAATAGTAAGGAAAAAGTTTATTTATTATGGCTCTAATTCTAATATTTTAATATTAAAAACTGAATTTTAGAAAAATTAAGTTTGGATTATAGAGCATCAAATACTAGAGGGATAAAAACAAAACAAAACAAAAAAACAACAACTTACAGAGCCAAATTAAGAAATACATAATTGAAATAAAATTTTAATGAATTTATTTATTTAGTAAAATAGGAAGAGTGAAACTGATAGTCTAGGCAAAAAGTCAGGTGTGATTGCTGATATCTGGACATATAATTATTTCAATTCTGCATTCAATTTATTTGTTTTTACAGGGAGATAACTGAAAACTCAAATATTTCAAACAAATAAGTAGTGACAAAGGGCAAGACTGCATAGAATTGTCTGGAGATGTCAACTACTGTATTTATGCTTAGAATTTGCAATTCCCATTATAGAAAAGTTCATTAAATTTGTATGTTTATTTCCTATTTAAATCAAAGCGCCTGCTATTAAATTTTGCCTTATTTTCATTTTCTAAATAAATTGAAATTATTCATAATATTCATAAATAAGAAATTATTCTTTGAATTACCCTTCTTGAACTGAGAAGTTATTCTAGGTGAGAAAAACAATAAATCCATCCCCTTTCCATAATTTTGGCACCAAAATTCAAATTTTATGGCTTTAATCTTGGTGAGAGCAGAAACAGCCTTGCCTTAAACATAAAAGCTTGTATTTAACTCAACCATTCTGTTAAATACTTATATCAAATATATAAGACTTTGAGAACAGGAATATCTGGCATTTGTTTAACTGTTAATTTCTCAAAAATAGTTATCTGAATAAGGAAAAACGGTTGTAGCATATTATAAACTTCCTGTTAAGAAATTATAGAATATACAGCTTTAAGAGCTTAAATTTGATATAGTTACTAAATTAATATCAACTGATCCTATTAATAAAGTTTGCAAAGCCTATATAAAAGAATTATATAATTTAAGTATATGTACCAAGTGCCCTTATAAATCTTTGTGCTTTGGATTATAAGACTCTTTACTACTAATCCATGTGCCGAAAGAATAATTTGTTTCTTTCCTTTTGGCACACCTTTCTCCCAGCAACATTTATATTGTAAAGTTATTCAAGATAATTAAAATTTCCTCATGATTGGCATAGGCGGACAGTAATTTACACAAATTTTCATGACAAATAAATTAAAAAATAGAAAAACTCAGTTATATCTAGTGATGCAGACCAAAAGCATTACATTTTTACTGAAAACACAATAGATTTTATATCATTTGCCATATCGATTACTTACTGCCCTGATTACAATATTCTTATTTTATCTGATGTACTTTCAGTCCCACATTTACACTATTTATAATTCAAGAACTGACAATATTTTCTAAAATGGTATAATTACATATTGCTATTCTATTGCTAACTTAGTAATATTTCTAAGAACTTTTGATAACCACTTAGAGAGAAATAATTTTTGTCATTTCTTTTTACTAGCCTAGCTGTTGAGAGCAGGCAAATTTAATAAGTCTCCTGAATCACAAAGTAACTTTTTCTATCACTTTTTTTAAGGGACTACAAACATTGATAGCACTGAATGGTGAATTCTCTGCTCTATCTTCTGTTTCCTCATTACAAAGTCAATGTCTTAAGATTTTTGTTGTAAAAAGATCGAAACAATTATCTTAACTGCTGACAATACAACTAAAGATATTATTTTACTTAGCACTAAGTGATATAGTTATTTTAAATTCACATAACAGAATTATGTAACTTAAGTATAGCTACCCAAACATACAATGAGAAAAATCAAAACATAGCTCAAAAAAGAAAAAGTTGGAAAAAAGGAAAGAAATAAGGCTGAATGTTTTATGTTAAGCAACAAAAATTTAAGAGCTCTAAACTGATAAACTTGAAAAATATTTCATCTCTTCAGTCAATTTGTAGAAATGAACCCAAAGCCCTGTCATTCTTTAATTCTGATAATATCAAACATATGGAACACCAACATTCCACAACTTCTAGAACATCTACACAAGTGAATAACTTAAAAAAAAAAAAATCTCTATCTTAAAGAAATAATGGTATTAAACAAACAAAAAAATAAAAGAGGGAATACACAATCATACAGAATCACTGATTATTGTCACTATGTAGCTATTTTTCTGGGTATTGTTTAACTGGAAACATTACCACTTTAGTATCTTACATTAAAGGAAACTCCAAGCACACTACCTAGAACAGAAAGCATTCCAACTATGAAATATTGCAAATGATCTATGTTTAAAAGATGCTGGAGAGTAGCCAAGAAAGGCGTTTGCTTAGAAATATATAAAGAAGATGAAATGAGGTTAAGAATATGACATCATCTGTGCTTATAAATCCGCTAGAAGTTAAATGATTCCTATTTCTTGTTGAAAAGTGGACTGCTCTCCAGTCTACAGTACCAGTTGAAAAGACTTCTTTTTCTAAAAGTTAAGTTGAAGAAAGGAAGAGCTGGCTTCCAAGGGACCAATTAGAAAATCCAAGCCTGGATTATATAGGATTCTTTGGGGATTTGCAAACGTTTCCATTCTAGTTTTCAGGAGACAAAAATATAAAGGGAAAAAATTAGAAAAAGAAGTGACCTGTGGCATTTGGCTACTACTCTTCAAACTGACTCATTATTAAAAGTTTTTAATACTTAATTGATTTCTGCCCTAAAAATTACTTGAGTTCAACAGCTAATCATTTATGGTAATAAGGTCACTCCTTGACACATACACATTATTTACTGGGTCACTAATGCAATGGTATGAGATAATGTAAGAAAAGCATGTGAAGTCCTAGTTTTCATTTAAACAGGGTCATCCCTCAACATCAGAACAGAAAAAGTTGTACTTAAGTTTCTCTTATTTAGAGATGCAGAATTAATTCAAAGAATAGATAGAAATGAATCTTTTTGGTATAGGGTCTTCAATACTTTTAGGGAAATAAGTACCTTATGAATTTATCATGACCTAGATTTGAGAGTTTTCCTAGGGGTAGGATGTTAATTTCAGCTAACCTGTTAGAATTATTCCCTTAGAATTTACTAGTTGCTCAAAAGTTAAATGGATCAGGGTAAAAATGTTTCTTATTCTAAGAAAAGATGTGTGCATGTGCATATGTTAAAGGAAGGAAAAGGGATTGCCTTCCCGTTTTTCCCACCTCCTGATTTTTAACAGCTAAATTTTAATGACTTCGCAAAGAAGTGTGAAGCGTAACCCTAGCAAAATATTAAAAAAAAATCATGAAAAACTATTTCTCAAGTGGAGAAGATACTTCTAATATATAAAACCATAAAAAAACTTTCAATGAACCTAAATAATGATAAGACCATTACTTATTTGTAAATTCCTTTGAAAGAAAAGGGTTAAAAATTGTGATTCTCAGATTTAGAGATTTAGGGCCTAGCCATAAAATACTCTCTCTAATAGAAAAGTTACCTAAAGCAATGGCATTATTCTTGCCCTAAATTGGATTAAATTAATACCAAACTTCAGGGTATAGGAGGTAAGGGGAGGTGAGAAAGCTATCACTCTAGGATAGTAGAAAAAAGTTCAGAATTAAAGCAAAATATGACATCAAACAGTAACTTTTTATAGCAATGGTGGGGTACTGCGAGTTAGTACTTACAAGGTAAGAACTGTTGAAATTTAGTAGGGGGCTGTTATATTATGGTCTTCATTTCATCATTATTAAACCTAGAAAAAAGATAAGGACTTTAAAAATTTGATCATATTATATGAATTACAAAATTCAACTGAGGTTGACAATCACATATTATAAAGTACAGCAGCAGCATTTATATATTTCAGTCCAGAGAATTACCATTAGTTTTTAAAATTCACTTTTCTATTACTGTTACCTTCTTGAAGTTGGAAAGTTAAATATGTAAGTATAATTAAAACTCATACTTCAATGTCTAATTTGAAGCATGCTGAGCTTCTGGAGAACATCATATAATTGCAGATATTTTAAGATAAATTTAAGATCATACCTGAAGATTGACCACAATCTATCTCCCCTTTCTTCTCTCTCCCCATGACATACACACATACACATATGCTACTGCAAAATCTTAAAATCCATATATTTTCCAATTTTAAGAACTGTTTATAAACAGTTTAAGTACAAAGCTTAAAGTGGAGTAAAATGTATAAAGAAATCTCTGAAAATAATGTTATGCTCTATGGCCACAAGAAAATATAATTGTGAAACTGCCTGAATTAAAGAGTAAATGAAAGAGTAGTGATAAGAGAAACTGTTTTCATTGTTGTCCTTAGAAGAGTAGGAAGGATTATAAGCCAGAATGCAAAAGAAGACATTACAACATATCTTTAAAAATAAAAAATTTAAAAATATTTTAGAAACTTAAGTTGGTTAGAATGTTTGATTTCTGTGGGACATATAAGTTGAAGTTCTTATGCCAACTAATGGTTAAGGACTTATTACTATTATAAGTCACAGAATAGAAAAACTGAATAAATCCATCCATCTATACTCTTATAGGAGCATTCCTAGTATACATCTTATTGTAGAAATATCTTTACCAATAAAAGGACAGCACATTTTTTTCATTTATTTGAAAAAATAAATATTTCAAATCCACAGAAAAACCAAGAGAACACCAAATGAAACCCCAAATCCTACCCCTGACTCTCCAACCCACCTATACTGAATTCTAATATTCTGCCATCCTTACTTTGTTAATTTATTAGTTTTTTAAGAAAAAAGACGACACATATAGTTGAGTCCTTTTATACCATATCCTGACATTCCTCTCTCCTGAGATACAATCACAATACTGAATTTAGTATTTATTTCCTATGCATACTTTTACACTATTACTACAAATTTAAGTATTTAAAATATATATCATTGCTTTCAAACTTTATATAAATGTTATCATACCATATATGTATTTTATATAAATGTTATAGTTGATAACCTTTTGCAAATTATTTTCGCCATTCATCCACGATAATACACACAGCTCTCACTTAAATAGCAGTGTAACAAACAGTTCATAATATGACTGTCACAATTTGCCATTCTCCTGTTACTTAACATTTACGTTGTTTTCCATTTTTTTCCTATTAAAAGTAAAAATAAACAAGATTTTATCACACGTCTAAGTTTATCTAGAATATCTAGGAATGGAACTGTTGGGTTCAAGTCTATGTGTATCTTCAACTTTACTAGAATTTTGTCAAATGCTCCCATAAGCAGCATAAAAAAGGTTTCCTTATCTGTATTTTCCCAATATTTGGAAGTACTTTTAAGAAAAATAGCTACTATCTAGATGAAAATTTAAAAAATTCTTAAGTGATCAAGTATAGGTATACTAAATGTCTAAACAAATAGAATAGACTAAAATTTGGCCCCAGGTACTTGCACAAAAATAAAGCTCTCATAATACACATTTTCCTCATGTGACTGAAGAAATACCAAGACTTAATCTAGGACTAATGTGGTAGAAATGATGAGATTTGAAATTAGTTATTGAGCTTATTTATAATGACCAAAGAGGCGGGGAAAAAAGCATAAAATGTAAATGGTTTATTGCTGTGAAGAAGCCTCTTTCATTTCACTTTGGGCAGTGCTTCTCACATGTGGCACTTCCCAAAAAAAAAAAAAAAAAAAAAATTTCACAGTCTATAAAAAACACAAATTCTTGAGCCTCAGCTCCAGATTCTGATTCAGCAGGTCTGGAAAAATGTTTTATTCTAGGTTATTCTGACACAGGTGGTCTACAGACATTTTACACAGTAATTAGTACTAAAAACAAGGTATTTGGAATGTAAAGGTTTATGTAACTTTTTGATTAAGAGTAGGTTAACAGTCATTAATATGTTATTTGTTAAATTACATCAACATATTAAAGAAAATACTTCAGAATATTAGAAACAAAAAAAAGTAACATCAATTTATGGTTGAGTATGTTTGACTTCACAATACTAAACCAGGTTGTGGGCTCATTAATTATTTCAGATAACTGAACACATACTACAACAAAGCTCTTTTTGATAATATTAGCCGGGAACTAATGTTCCAAGTTTACTGTAAGGGAAATATTAAGAGTGGGAGTGATTAGTTGTGATTTTGATAAAGATGACCAGGGAAAAACTATGGATATCTTTTTTAAAAAATGCTATTGTATATGTCAGACTTTAAATTAGGACATTAGGCTCATACACTGAAACAAAATATCATTTGTAGCTTCCAGCAAGAATGCTACAAATGAAATTAGAAATTTAGGAATCCATTATTTACTTCCCTGTAATTACAACCAATTGGAATTATTTAGATACAAAAGAGGAAAATATGTAAATATTTAGGTTATGCAAATCTGTTCAAATTTAAATTGTAAAATCAAAAAACTCTTCTATACTATTTGAAATTATAAAGTCCTGTTTCCAAAAGATTTAGAATAATCTTAACTTTCTAGACATAAGACATTATTTTAATAGTGAGTACAAGTAAAGACATGAGTTTCTACCTGCAACATGCTTTGTATTTAGTTATATACAATATTGTGTAGTACAGGGTGCTGTTCTCTTTAGTTATATAGTGAAATCAGTAAGAATTTGGCCTTGTCTAGACTGGCTGTAACAAAGATAATTTGGGCTCAGAATATGGCCGAAAGCAAAAGAAACACTACTGTGTGGCCACAGTCAACTTTTCTTTCCTCAATATATTACCTAACTTGTGTTATCAGCAGCTAATTATTAATTTTTTCCAGTCTACCAGCTTAAAAGTGAAAAACATGAAACATAACATTCATATTTCCAAAAGCAAGATGTTTCTATTCAATTCTATAAAATTAACTGAATAAAAATTACATTAACTAAAACCAGAGTACACAGTAAAAAATAATGAGTCTAAGAACTATAAGTATTTTCTTTTCTCTTTATGTTACTTTGGGAAGAAAACACCTTTTTGTCAAAAAATGTATTCATTATACTATACATGGGTTACACTGACAGTTGGGCCCTTCCCACCTGATCTATAAAAGCTCGTGGGTACAGGCTCCTTTGGCCACCATTATTGCATATTTGATGCTATTCTGTACAACAGCTGACAAGAAGCAGCAATCTCCCAGGCCCTGCTCCCAGCTGTAAGGGACAAGAACAAGGGCTGTGGTGATACTTGTTTATTTACTGTTGCTGTTGCTGAAACAGCAAACTGAGAAAAGCATATATAACACAGAAAAAAAAAAAAAATGGTTCAGCCCAACTTACCTAGCAGGTCTGCTTACAGTAATACACAGCAGACTTATTTAAGGAGGAATTATTTCTTTAAAAAGTGGGATGGAGAGAGAAGACAAAATGGTGTTTTGATTAGAAAGAGAACCTATAATGTATCTAAGAAAGAAAATTAATGACATGTATAATGATCTTCAGCTCCGTTTAGATTTAACTGCTCAATTACATAAATTCTCAGAAGAGTTCTATCCAAGTTCACAGTAGATTCATAAACAGTATTTTCTCTAACTAATCTCCTGGAAAATAAAAAGTATCTAAACTTGACTCAAGAAATGAAATTATATTTTGCTGATAAAAAGCTCCAAGCTCCCAGGTTCTACATATCTAATCACCACCATATGTTTGACATCAGACACTATTAACAAAGTAATAAGATTTTACAAAAATTGCAACTATTAAAAAAATTTCCACAGGTAATTTACCTACGTTAAAGCTAAAAATCTTAGTACATAATATCAATTGATGCGTCAGAAATAGAAACTATTCTAACAAATTACCTTTAAATGGGATGCTATTTATGAACTTACAACTTTAAATTTAAATACAATTCTTGTCTTTTAATACCTAGAGCAATTTTTGATTCTGAAAAATATTTTAAAAGTTAGGAAACTTAGGAAATTTATCAATTACTTTTTAAAATGCTAAAATTGGCTGATAAAATTAAATAATCCCAGGTCAAGACTAGGTTTGAGATTTATTAAAAGTATAAAATATAGTAATATTTAAAATTCAGATCATATTTTGTTAAAAAATCACGATCTTTTATCAAAACTGAAAAAATAATTTTTCTGCTTAGCAGCTCAATAAGAAACAAATAATGCTAATAATAAAAATAAAAAATAATTCTGAGGATCACAGGATAAAATTACATGTATGAATTTAGTATGAAAACTATACAATAAAAAACTAACAGCAAATATCAAAGGACTTTTAAAAACTAAGTTATAAACTTAAAAAATAGTTAATAAACTATTATCCAGTAGATTAATCAGTCTTAGCAGCTACATGGTGCATGTTTCTCTTTCAAGTGACTCTAACCACGAAAATAGGAAAGTAAAACTAAGGCAAATCATATGTTAATAAAATATCTAAAGTGTGGTTTGTGGTGCTGAGAACTGAAATTCTACTTCAAAATACTATTTAATAAAAAATTTATATCCTCACATTGACTTAATATTGCCTTTTGAAAATGCTTATCAGAAAATATAATTCTGATGCAGTAGGTCTTATTTGAAAAAAAAAAAAAAGAAATAGATTAAGAATGTATTTGCTAGTAAAAAACAAAACACATGTACAAAACTCCTTCAAACAAATATTTTAAAAACTTTTATCATGATAACTGTATTTACTCTTTAACGAAACCTCAGTAACACTATAAAATCTCTATTAAAGTTGTTATAGCTAACGAATTGCTTAAAATATAAGTTGTCCTTATAAACTGGCATTGTACATCAATAACAAATAATTTCAAGTCCCCTCATAGATATGTTAAATTACCTCTAGTTTATCCAAATATTCTTAACCCTTAAGGATAACTATTTCAATAAAATAGGAACAATGGCAGTGTAACTGTATTTTAGAAACAATTAAGAATTTCTCCTGAAAATGAATGTTATTTAACCCTGAAAATGTATTTAACCAAAAATATAAATATTGCACACACAAGATATAGATTTATCACTGAAAAGAAGATAACTCAATAAATCCTTTCCCCCAAATTCTGATATAATGAAATATATATATATTTATATTTAGACTTAGCTAGACATAATCAGGTTTGCAAATTTAAAATAGCCAAAATCCTTACAAAACTACCCCTGAAAGGTAGTTAAAAGATAGCCAATCACACTTTGCAGTAAAAGCCCTTATTAACTTGTCTCCTAAAATAACACATACTACAAATTAGGTTAGTTTCTCACCCTGTAAGAACTGACCGAATACAAGAAAACTGTTAATATATGCACCGAGTCTTTAGATGTTAAATTATTTACTAAGCTCAAAATTTGAAAGCTTTTAAGCCAGTAGATAGCTATAGAGAGGATAGTTTTATGATGCTAAGTATTTGTATCCAAACAATAAGTTTTGACAACTTCAAAGAACACAAATCATAAACTCTCTAAATTAGGAACAACTCTGGATTTATGTCTTCACACTATAAACTCAAAAGCTGTCTCTCTTCAACCCATTTAATTCATTAAAGCTGTGTATGAAGATATCTGGCTTGAAAGTGATAAGTTGGACCTGGATTTTAGTTTCAGACACTCAGAAACCGTACTTTTTACTTTACTTTTCATCTTAATGTTCTCCAACCTGGAAAGCACTGGTTATATTAGAGGTGAGAATATTATATTTTCATCCTATTCAAACTAAGCTGCTTTTTCATAACATTCTCAAATTAAAGTTATGAAGAGACATTCTAATTTATCTCGGATATCTTATAGTATAATGATACCAATACCTGAACTTTATCCTTATATTAAACTGATTTCTATTAAATTTTAACATTTTATTTAACCATAACTGTTAATGGATTTACATTCCTGGATTATCTACCTAATATCTACTAATATAGAAACATCCAATATTAGTTTAGTATTTTGATATGTTATCTCAATGTTCAAACATTCTTAAACATGCATCTGAGAATTTTCTTAAAAAAAAAAAAAAAAAACTTTTAACATTGTTTAAAAATAAAAGCAATTCTGTGACCACAATGATAATTGCACCTCACTCTTAAGACTAAATTACAACTTTCTTATGAAAACAAACCTTTGTAATTCCCTATTTCTTAAGTATATAAAATAAATATTTTCAGGTGAAAAATATTTAAAGAAAAAGTTATAGTATATTTTACTAAACCTCACTTTATCTAGCAAATAGTCTTAAAAAATATGGTTAACATTTTATCATGTGGTTAATACTTTACTATGCAAAAATTAATCAAGTAAAACTTAGTAATACTGTTCAATAAGTTCATTTTCATTGTATCAGATTACCATTTAGAAAACAATCAAGAATTTTATTAGCTAAGTATCTGAAATTTTCAACCCAAACTATAAAAATCAAAGAAACTATACTATTAAAGTGGTTGTTATAAAGTATTCTGGAAGAAAAAATAATAAGTCACTAGAAATTTTGGTATTCTACAATTTATTTTTAAAGAGTTTGCAACTTTTGATATGAACAATTTAAATATTTTATTCAGAGTACTTATGAGTAAGATATTAGTTTCTGCTTAAGAAAGTGGGTTTTTCAGTTTCAACCAAATTGCCACTGTTGGTTAGGATACTACTTGGAATACTTTAAATTCCCTTAAAATAGTCTCATTAATCTTATCTAATTTTGTAGGCTCTACCTACCAATATTCTTGTCATACAGCCAAGCACCAAATTTCATGATTTGAACCTTTCATTTTATAAGATGAAAAGTCCACTATTTAATTTTTTTTTATATATAACACTGTAATAACCTTAAGAGGAGAAATAAAATGCCACTATATATACTTATTTTTAGAATAAATAAATTCAGTTGGAGTTGGACCTAATGCAAGGTGATGAGAACATCAACTATATTTTGAAAATCTGAAGTTTTAATAAGCAAGAGCCCTCAACCATGGCACTTCACAGGATGATCTGTGTATTAATAAATTTTTACTCATTTTTAGCTCACCTAAAAGTTCTATCTTTACCAACTGTCTAGCCTAATTACAAGATGTAAAATTTCATACTTTTATAATTCATTAGTATACCTTAATCTCCTATCATGTTCCAACGCATTATGTGAGTGTTCAATCAAAGAAGTTAAGTTCTCCAGAACTGGCTCTGTCCTAAAGGTTAAAACCTGCAATAAAAATGTCATGTATTATAGCATGAAGACACTCAACAGATTTCTACCTCCTGCAGTTCTACAGTGGATCCCTGAACAGAGGTAAGATCTTCAGAATGACCTCAATTTTGACTGTGTTCAAAAAACCCCCACTAACTTGAAAATAATGTTATTTAAATTAAAATAACTTGATTAGAAACACCTGTGATATGCTTTATCATTTGAAGCCTCTTTAAACAAACCAGATTAATAGGTTTCTGATTTAATTTCTCTTTAGAGCATTCATTTTCAAAACAGTGTGTGTGTATGTAAGTAGGTGTTAAGAGAACTGGTAAAGGGGACTCATAAGGAAAATATCGGAGATATAGTTTGTGCTTCTACAACTCATAAAATCCACACATTTTAAAAAATTACTCAGGGGATGGAGACAAATTTTTAAATTCTTTTCTCAAATTATCAAATGTTTAATAACAGAAATTATCATTTTCAATTTTCATCTTTTGTCATGCCTGAGCAATATTGGTATTTCCAAATAGTTTAAGACATTACAATTCTAACAGAAGAAAATTTAGAATTTACTCTTTAAACAAATGAAAATATAAGTAATAAATGGGGGGGTGACTAGTGGGCCAATGGTTTTTTAAATGTTTCCAAGTAGAGGTGGTGTAACCCAATGCATGTAAGTTGCTTTTTCATTTTTCACCTGAATCTTTATGATTTAGCAGCAATCGACTGTATAAAAATATCAAATTGTTAAATTACCAAAGATTTGTAATATATATGTGAACCATAATGCTCTGAGTTTTCCACTTTTATTTAAAAATAGCTTAGGAAAAGAAATGAAAACCAAATAATCCTTTATTCCTGTGCTGCCAAATATCTGATTGTTTAATGGCAAAAACCACACACACACACACACACACACACACACACACACACACACACACCCCCACAAACACCAAATACCATGATATTTAAAAAATTTAAAATCATTTCTACATAGCCTTCCTCAACAGATACAAAATTTTCTATATTTGATCACTTTGAAAATTAAGATATCTTAACTTTAAAGTTAACAGAAGGAAAACAGCAGACACCAATATGTACTCCATGCCAAATGTTAAGTTTTTAAATAGTAGAAAAACAAGATACTAGATAATAGGATAAAGGAAGTTCAAATACAAGACAAATACTAAACTAAGTGATAAAAAATGTAAAAAACCCCTTGAAATAGTAAAACTGAAATCTATTACAAAAAAAAGTTTATTATTTATACTTAGAATCCATGACAAGTCTCTCCTGTGCAAAGATTCTCTAGTGAAATAAGACAGGATTAAACAAAAGTATATTAAACTTGTCATAATTTGATAAGAAATATTAAGAATAAAATTTGCTTATACTTAATATTAATTCTAATATTTGAAATTTATCTTCCTAAAAGAAAGATACTTTAAAGCATCTCTAAGACAGGCAAGAGGGAATAAAAAGGCAAAAGGAAATCACTTCCCTACCAAAAAGCAATATTTATAGGAAGGCTCTACAGTCATTTGTACAAGCAAATAATCAGGCAAATATATAAACACGCATTGTGATATTCTGAAACTGACAATACTCTTATAATATTAAGACAATCACAACTTTTAAGCTCTAATACTGTCACTTGGAAAAGTTAAATGTAAAATGGCTTAATCTCATTTTCGACACTTATTTGAAAGAAAGTGGTAGTTTATTACTGATTCTATTTAGTCTTAAGAGAGGGGCTACCAGATTTCAGCAAGTCAGTTTGAATTCTAATTACATGCCAAAATTAGTTGCCTGGCACACAGTGTTTCTAAGTTGCCGAATTAAAAAAAAAAGAAAAAGAACAAAACTATATACACTAATATTTTAATATGACAATTCTTTCTAAGATGTGTAATCCAATTATAATCAGACTAATAATCTGTGTCTTCTAAAAAAGGGTTAAAATGAAATCAATGTGGGGATCATTAAGCTTCATTAAACAAAAGAAATAAAAGACAAGAGCCAATTTTAGGTCAGTTATTTTTTAAAATGAGAGACAAGTTTTTGTAGAATAAAATTTCAAAATAGTGTGTAAATTTATATTGTTTGATTTTTTTAATTGAAGAAAACTTATGTATCATGTAGAAAAAATATCTAATATAGCTTTCTGGGCATTTTTTTTCTTTTTGTAAACCCAATCGACTGACCTATATTTCTGGATTGAAGTACTTTGTTACATTCTGAATTGTTACTACATACCAATAAATAAATGAATAAAAATATATGTCTCTTCAAAACAACAACAAAAAAAATGTAGTATATAAAGTCTGATGAAATAAGGAATCCAAAATACGAAAGTTATTTTGAAAACTTTCATCTTTAGCTCTAGTTCATAATAAACATTAAAAGTGATATTAATCTGATAAAAAATAGTGTTACATAGAAACATCTGAGACTACAATTTGTAAATGTACAACTAAGACAAGTTGACAGCATTAAAACAAAGTCTAAAATTGCACTTTTACTAGGATTTTTAAAAATAGTATGAAGGGCAAACAAATAAAATCAATGCTACTAGGAAGACTGATACTTCTCTAGATCCTTCTCTCCCACAATATGTAAGCATAACTTTAAAAAGAGTTGAGCTACTGTAGCTGTTATATGACTTTTGTAGCCCTTACAATAGAAAATAAATTAGAATTATCAATTTCTGCAGAGAAATACGGATAATATACAAAATATAATAATCATATACATCTATTGGAACTCATACCTATCTATATGCCCACAAATCTAAACCCAAAATCTTCCTCTTATCTAGCATCACATAAAAGGAAAAATATTTTGAATGCAGTGGATTTTATTTAGGTGCTAGTTTGCTCTCAAGCTTTAAGTGTAGTATTTTAAATAAAGGAATCCTTCACTTCTTATAAAAATGGCTTATTAAGCAAAACAACTAAAACAAAAAAAGAAAAAAACAAAATAATAGTAAAGAAAGCAAAACCCACTAGTTGATATATAGGTGAAATTATATTTAAAATAGAAATGCGGTCTTCTACAATTTCATCAAATCAAATATTACAGAGGAGAATTAGTACTTTCAAATAAAATTTTAATGAGATTGAAAATAAAACTTTGAAAAAAGGTAATGAACACAGGTTCTGCAGTTACAATTCTTGTTATGAAGACAACACAAAATAGTATGATTTCTAAACTCTGCTATTCTACTTATTAATACAAATTATATTTACAGTCCTGCAAAGATTTATGAAAGTCACAGGATTTTTTCATTTGAATATTTCCTAACAATGCATATTTGACTTAATGTGAGAATACAAACTCCTAAGTTTCAAAATTTCAACTACTATTCATAAAAGCACATAAATTTCTATTAAATTTTAAAAAACTTTTACAAAGCATCTACAGCTATCCTGTTTATCCATGAGTTTACTGATTTTCTTTGAAAACCACACTCTCCTTTTATCAAGATGCAACTAAACGAAATGACAAGCTTGGTAATAAACAGAAATGTATTGACGGCTGTCTCAAGAAACGTGAAACAAAAACCAACTTATAATCAACCAAATAAAACACAACACACCATACTGTTGTATGAAATATATTTCTTCATAATTAATTTACCAAAGGAATAAAATCATATATACGCACCTGTGCATACTTACCTGTTGTACTGTGTAAGTTAAGCAACATAAATTTCTTTAAAAAAAAAAAGTTTTAAGTCCACTGCAATGGCTGAATTAGTAAAACCTATATATTTTAAATTAGATGTGAAAAGTCTTTAGAATATATCAATTTTTATGAAAAATGTGGAAAAGCTTTCTAAACATCAAGAAAATTAAGTTTCTTTTCATCAAAAGAAAATTCTCGTAATCTACATCTAATAAATATATGTAGTTTAAGATGAAAAATTTCTGTCAAAGGAATAAAAACCCTAAATGCCTCACTCAGTTTTTATCCATAGAGAACAGGGCAAATATATAAAAGTCTTGCAATTTTATACAGCAGAATTACAATTTCACGAAAATTGCCTCCTCAGTTTTACTTTTAATATATATTTCAGAAACACTCGAAGGTTCTTTCTGAAAAAATGTTAAACACCAGCTTTTTTTAACTCCCTGTCTTAACGTTTGTAGCTATTTCCGTGGTTTTCTAAAAATATAAATTTTCGTAAAGTCGAGAATTATAATCTAGTGTTTAACATTCAAACCCCCCAGTCCCGCTTCCTTCCAGCCAATCAGGGGATAACAAGTCCGGTGTTTTGGGAGCTCCGTTACACACAATTTGAAAAACATCACTTTGCGCTCTCCTATTCTCATCGGGGAAAGATTCTTAGTGAGGGCGGGTCCCCCAGTCTTTATAGAAATAAGAACCCAATCAATCGTTACATCAATTCCAGAGGGAAAACTCCTCAGGCAGGCGTTCCTGAAGAGTGTGTGATTGCGGTTCTCTGGAAGCGTTATTCCTCTTTGCGGAACAACTGAATAGCTGTTGCAAAAACCATCTTCTGCATATTCACAACCCAGAGCCGTGCACCCCACCCGCAAACCATCACGCCAGCAAAGGGTTAATCTAGTGGCGCCTTCGGGGTAGAAAAAGGATTCCAGATCCAATATATCTTTAGTGAGGAATTTTTATAAAGGTCATTATCTATTATAAAGTATTACTTAAAGCCATCACTGGCTTAAATCTTTCAAGAGTTGTTGAGTGAGAATTGGTAGAAACTGCGAGCTAAAAACAAAAAAACAAACAAACAAAAAACAAAACAAAAAACCAATCACTATAGAGAAAGACAAATAACAGTCCTCAGAGTCAAGAGAGTTCCCAAGAAAAGGTGGGGATTGCAAAACTACCACTAAGTTGTCCGGGTAAAGACTTTTCGGGAGGAGAACATCAATACCGTTTCACAGATTGCTTCTTTTCCTTGCAACATGTTTCAGACTGGAGAAGGAAAAATTTTAAGAAAAGTGCGACTCGGAGGAAATCGCAAAGAAGGAAATCGCGTACTTGAAGCCCCATCTTTCATCTCACTCAAGAACACCTCCCCCCCTCCCCCCAAGGGCAACACCAGGAGAGCAAATGACAAAAATCCCAAGCAAAAAAGCGAAAGCCTAGCATCTTTCCTGGGAGCCCACTAAAATCTCAAAAGACTGCCCCCGCCCCATCTGGCCCAAATTGGAAAAACCAGACACGGTCAGTGCTACCCCTGCCCGGACCGAGGCGCTCAGAGCCGGAGGGCCGCCTTGTGAAACTCACATTCCTTGGGCACCTAACGCTTTAGCGTCAGACGACAATATACAGGGCTGGGTCCCGCACGACTGACGGACAGAAGGTACCCGCTACTCCGGGTCCTCAATTTTCCGCCGATCTTAACTTTCTTATCACGAGAAGACGACCGTCAACCGGCCGGGTAAACTGCGATGGAAAAACACTCGGCTCGGCAATGGGGGAGGGGGTGTTCGTCCCCCTCCTCCTGTCAAAGAGCTGCAACCTGCGGAGCCCCGCCTCGCCTGGGTCCCCGGGCAGGGGGTCCTGCTGACAGATCCGCTGGGCGGCGGCTGCTCCCCCCAGGCCG